CTGGCTGCTCCACTTCTGGTCCAGCTCCCTGCTAATGCACCTGGGAAAGCAGCAGAGAACGGCCCAAGTGCTTGGACCCCTGCACCTACATGGAGACCTTGAGGAAGCTCCTGGCTCTTGGCTTCAGTCTGGCCCAGCCCCAGCTGTTGTGGCCATTTAGGGAGTGAACCAGCAGATAGAAGATCTCTGTGTCTCTCTCTCTCTCTCTCTCTCTCTCTCTCTCTCTCTCTCTCTCTCTGTAACTCTGCCTAGAAAAGGGCCAGCTCCGGGAGGGGCAGGAAGCCTTTTTGGCAGACTTGAACCTGGGCAGGTGCACCTCAGCCGAGGCACACGGGGGTGGGAGGGGGAGCTTTCCTGGTTGTGCTGGTTCATCCTCCTCTGACTCTTTCCTCTCCCCTTCCTCCTGTCCAGCCCGTGTTTCTGTTATCACTGCTGTGGAAACTGAGACCGGGAGAGAGAGGGCCTTGTCCCAAGTCCTGGATGCCTGGAGCTGTGACACAAGGGGTCTGGGTGCTCTTGCCAGGGTGCCCTCAGGTCCGAGAGGATTCGGGCTCTGATTTCAGACCCAGAGCCGAATGGCACAGTAGGGAACTGAAACCAGCATCTGGCTTGTGATAGATGAGTTGCTGGGCCTTTTTTCTGCCATCTCCAATTTCGGTTTGGCTTTGCCTTGTCCGCCTTTGGGTTATTTTTGTTCTGCTGCTTGGAATAGCGCCCTCTTTCTGCAAAATTCCCTTCACCCTAAATTTTGAGGTCTCGCAAAACTGTATTCCAATCCTCCAGCAGCTTAAAGGCACCCTGTCTAATTTAGTCTCACTTGCAGATTGGATTAGAATATTGTTTAAAATTTATTTCTTTTAGAGGATTTTTTAAATGTATTGATCTTGTGGATTTTAAAGGGAGAGACAGAGAGGAAAAGAGAAAAAGAGAGAGAAGGGAGAGAGATTGTCATCTGTTGGCTCACTCCTCACAAATGCTCACAGCAGCCACAGCTGGGTCAGGCCAAAGCCAGCAGCCTGGAACACCATCAAGGTATTCCGTGTGGGTGGCAGGGACCTAAGTACTTGAGCCACCAGTTGCTGCCTCCCAGAGTGTGCATTGTCAGGAAACTGGCACTGGGAGCAGAGCCAGGACTCAAACCCACCCACGCACTCCCCAGTATGGGATGCACGTGTCCCGTGCGGCATCTTAACCGCTGCACCGACACCCGCCCCCTGGATTGGAATCTTCCTGATTCGTTGTCCCAGATCTCCCGCAATGAGACTACCCAGAAGGAGCCTCGGGACCGAGCCCGTCTGCTGGGCCTTCCTCCTCTGTTTCTGATTTTGCTTCTGAAATCATTTTCCCGTCGAACTGTCACAAAGTCAAGATCGTTACACGCAAGCTGGTGTGATGCCGATGGAGCGAGGCTGTCCCGACATAAAGTGATCTTGCTTCTGTTGTGCCGATTCACGAAGGAACCACTGAGCTGCGTGCCTGGCAGTGCTCTGGGGGGTGGGGAGGGAAGACTCTGAAGCCTGGGTCTGTTCTGGGACAGAGAGGATCTGGCTTATCGCTCCCGCAGTCTGCAGACCCCTTACGGAAGGGCCAGCTCCTCCTCTCTGCTTCCTCAGGATGGGGCCTGGGGGCTGACCCCCTGGGTGAGGGTGACAGGATGGGGTGGCTCTACCTCCCGCTGGTACTCAGCGGCCTGTGGTTGGGAGCGCAGACCAAGCTGGGTCACGTGTCGCTCCCTTAGCATCCATGGGCAGCTTTCACTAAGCCACCCTCTGCAAGCTGCTGCTGGCCGGTCTGACATTCCTGGTGCCAAGGTGAAAGGTGTCGACCATTTCTCTACCTCCAACTTTACCCTAAGTCCCCTGCCCCAGCCTTCCCTGGTCTTCAGGGAACACCATGTGCCTGTTCCATTCTCCTCTCTGAAACACCCCTCTTCTAAGGCCTGGCCACTTGGGAGAGGACAGAGATTAGAGTGAGCCACAGGTGCTCAGATCACCCTAAAATGCACCCCCTCTTCCCTCCTGCTTCCTGTGCCTCCCCTTTGGAAGGACTAAGCTGGTGCCCACGTGCTGCCTCCTTGTTATCTTCAGAAGTCACAAGCATAATGATAACAAGGCATCCCAGGAGTAGGTGTTGCTGTGGAAATGGATAAAGTAAGGGAAAACCCAGTCATTATTGTACTCATTATCCTCCTATCAGAACACTCAGCCACCGAGCGTCATTTTGAAAGGGACTTGGGCTCTCGGGTTGCAGAAAGAGAAGATGCAGGGAGAAACAGGCTTCGCTGAAAAGCGCTCTTTCAGGTAAAAGCATTGGGTCTCCAGAAAGGAGCTGCAGGCTCCTCTTGCCCTGTGAATGGTAGCCCATGTTCCAAAGTTATCATTTATCAGAGCAGCAGAGGCTCAAGCAGGCTGGCTGAGATCTGGGTGAACCATGAGTGATGGATGGGAGCAATTACATTTGCCGTTTCTGTCGGAATGATCATTGGAGTCTCGTAAAATGAAACTGGTGGCCTACGTAGCATCAGGATGGTCTTTGGTCCTGCTGGTTTTTTTTTTTTTTTTTCCTTTGGATGAGTCTTTCTTTTTTTTCTTTCCAGAACAGGGAGCTGCAAGTATCGGCTCTTAGAGTCCTGGGTTTGTGCAGGGGCCTCAGAGGCTGGAGGTGGGAGGGAGAGGTGAGTCAGAGTGAGGTGGAGGTTCCAGGCCTCCCAATCGGCAGCCAGTCTACTTTTCTCTTTTTGTTTCGTTTCGTTTTGTTTTTGGAGTTCTCTAAACTGACTGACTAGACAGATGGGCCTGTGGTGACAACAGGTGCTGTGGTGCCAACTGGGCTTGTGGTCCTAGAGCCTTTGGCTGCAGAACTAACCGACTCTCAGAGATTCAGTTAGGAGAGTTACAGAGAAAAACATTCTGGCCACATCTGGGGTGCTGACCAGGACTGATTAGACCTCGACTCGGGATGGGATCAGCTTTTCACGAATCAGGGTCACAGCCAGTGCCAGGGGACATGCACTCGGGTTGGCCGTCAGAGCAAGGCACAGCCTGGCTGCTGCCCGTTTGTTCCCTCCACAAGTGTGGTCCCTTCTCTGTTATTCTCCCATGAGTGGATGGGTCGGTGGATGCTCCTGCTTAAGGGTTTGGCTGTGCACTGCCCACAAATGGCTTATGTATTATGAGCTTTTCATTATTACCATGAAAAACCTCTGAGAAGCTAACTTTATAATAAAAAACGGGTTTTTTTTTTTTCAAAAAGATTTTTTTATTTATTTGAAAGGCAGAGTTATAAAGAGAAGGAGAGGCCGGCGCCGTGGCTCACTAGGCTAATCTTCCGCCTAGCGGCGCCGGCACACCAGGTTCTAGTCCCGGTCGGGGCGCCGGATTCTGTCCCGGTTGCCCCTCTTCCAGGCCAGCTCTCTGCTGTGGCCAGGGAGTGCAGTGGAGGATGGCCCAAGTGCTTGGGCCCTGCACCCCATGGGAGACCAGGAGAAGCACCTGGCTCCTGCCATCGGATCAGTGCGGTGCGCCGGGCCTCGGCGGCCATTGGAGGGTGAACCAACGGCAAAGGAAGACCTTTCTCTCTGTCTCTTTCTCTCACTGTCCACTCTGCCTGTCAAAAAAAAAAAAAAAAAAAAGAGAGAGAGAGAGAGAAGGAGATACACACACACACACACAGAGCAGGGGCGGAGGGGGAGACCTTCCATCTGCTGGTTCACTTCCCAAATGCCTGCAATGGCCAAAGCCAGGAGGAGCCAGGAGCTTCTTCCAAGTCTCCCACCTGAGTGCAGGGGCCCAAGCATTTGGGCCATCTGCTGCTGCTTTCACAGATGTTTTTAGCAGGGAGCTGTACTGGAAGCAGAGCAGCCAGGTCTCAAACTGGTGCCCATGTGGGATGCCGGCATCACAGACAGAGGTGGAGGCTTCACCACAATGCTGGCTCCGAAAAGGTTTGTTTTGCTCACAGTGTAAAGGTGCAGGGTCTAAGGCCCAACGGGCCCTGTGGGTTTAACATCAGCATCTCGGGCAACACAGAGCCTCATGTGCCAACAGGGAGCATGAAAGTCTATGTCTTATCTTCCGCAACCGCCAGTCCGACACCCTACTGTGGGCCTGGGCAACAGACTCGACCTTTTTTGTTTCTTTAAAACAATATATGTATTAATTTGATTTGAAAAGGAGAAAGTGTGCTTCCCATCTGCTGGTTCACTCCCCAGATGCCAGCAATGGCTGGGTCTGGGCCAGGCCAAAACCAGAACCTGGGGGCTCCATCCAGGTCTCCCTCATGGGTGGCAGGAACCCCAGAACTTGAGCCACCACCTGTCACCTCTCAGGGTGTGCAGTTAGTAGAAAGCTAGAGTGGGGAGTGGAGCGGGACTCAGACCTAAGCACTCTGGTGTGATGTCCAGGTCCGAGAGCCCTACCCACAATGCCAAACACCCACCCCAACGAGTCCTTTTATAAACCCTCTAGAACACCGCAATAGACATACACCATTCTCCTTTTAGACAGAAGTAGTCTTAAGACTCCGTCAGAAGGGGCCAGAAAGAGCCAGTTTCTGGACAAAGGAAATGCAGAGCTACAGGAGGACATCAAAGCAAGTCAGTTCTCAGATCAGCAAGTCTCTGAGGCCGGCGCTGTGGTGTCTCAGGTAAAGCTGCTGCCTGCGGCACTGGCATCCCACATGGGCCTCAGTTGGGAGCCCTGGCCGCTCCACTAACCATCCAGCTCCCTGCTAATGTGCCTGGGAATGCAGTGGAAGGTGCCTCCCTCCCCGTGCTTGGCCCCCTGCACCCATGGGGGGGGGGGCCCAGAAGGCTTCCTCAGGCCCCCAGTCTTTGTGGCCATTTGGGGGAGTGAATCAGCCTATGGAAGACTTCTCTAGAACTCTTTCAGATAAAAAAGAAAAAAAAAGCACAGCTCATAGGGCCACGTCCCCTTGCCTGTGGCTTAAGCACTGAGGGCTGGAACAGAGAGGGAAGGCACTGCTGGATCTTGGAGGACAGAGTCCCCCAGCCCCTTCCTGGGTGGGGAGGGTGAAAGCCGGGCAGCTGTGGCGGCCGGAGAGTCTCTGAGTAGCGGGACCATCGGCTGCCCGGCTGCACCACGCTTCCCTTCCGTCCTGAGTGCTGCCCGGAGCTGAGCCGCCTCCCGTCCTCACCGCAGGCGCAAGAGAACGGCCCCAGACTCGCTGGCTTCTGAGGGCGGGCGGGGTTCCGCGGGCCCCTGTTCCTCAGATTCTGCAGCCTGGCCTTGCAGACCTTCTTGTCAGCCCTGGCACCCCACCCCTCCCCGACCCTGGTTCCCCATCATCCGTCCGCGGGGAGCCCCAAGGTGTATATGGCGTGCCCGCCCCGTCTCCAAGGGTTTCGTGCGAGCCCCCAGAGAAGGCAGGGCCAGGCCTGTTTCTCTGAGCGCAGCCGGGGTGGTGCCTCTCAGATCCCATCCGCGCGCCGCCTTCCCTCGCGGAGTTCCCTCAGTTTCCCTCCGGGGCCCAGCCGGGGAATCCGAGCCGCTGCGGCGGGAGGGGGCGGCGGGAAATGGTGCCTCGCTCGCCCCAGCGACATCAAACCCTCGTTTGGCGCGCGGGGACAATGGCCGTCTTATTTTCTCCATTCGCCTTGCACAATGCCGGACTCTCTCATTCACCCGCGGCGGTGCGAGCGAGGTAATTAGCCCGCGCCATTCAGCGCGGACAGCGGCGCGATGCGGGGGGAGGCGCCCGCGGCGGCGCGGATTAGCCGGCCCGGGACGCAGCTGCGGCCACTTCAAAGGCGCCCGGCGGCCCGGCCGGCGGTGGGAACCGGCCCTGCCCGCGCGCGGCCGCCGCCTGCGCCCGGGGCGTCCTCCCCGGCCCGGGCCCCGCCGCCGGCCGCGCCCCGGGCCCTGCGCCCCCTCGCCGCCGGCGGGACCTCGAGTGCCTTTCTCCTCCGCGCCCCGGGAGTCAGAGGGCACGGCGGGGGAAGGAGGGCGAGGAGCGAGGGGGCTGGGAGCTTGACACAAAGCGCTGCCCTCCGACGAGTGGAGCAGATGGTCCCACTTAGGCCGCCGCCGCCGAGGCCGGGCCGCGACCCCGCCCGCCGCGCCGGGGCCTGCTCGGGGGTCTCGCGCAGCGCCCCTCGCAGCGGAGTCCGACTGCCCGCGCGAGCCGCCTGGGGCGAGCCCTGTGGGGTGGGGGTGGGGGTCTCGGCGGGGACCCTGCCGGGCTGGAGAGTGGGGTCCCAACCCTAGCCCTGGAGCTCATCTGAGTGGGCCTGGCGCCACAGCGGACCCGTGATTGAGAGCCCAGCGGGGTTGAGAAGGTTTCAGTCTGGTCCAGCTCCTTCATCTTCCTTGGAGAGGCTGGGACCCGGGTAGAGGAAATGACTGGCTGGCGGGCAGCGACTGAGTGGACGGCTACATGATAGGGAATGACCAGTCAGTCCCCAGGAGCGTATGACCCTTAAAGTCAGTCTGCAGGACGCGGCCGATGGGGGCTTGCCCTTTACGTGGTGTTTGTTCTAGGAGCAGGAGACAGGAAGTGGGTACACGGATGAGCAAGGCGGGTAGCTGGCTCTCATGCAACCTGTTCCCCGCCAGGACACAGGGGCAGGCAGCACGTCAGAGTCGGGGATGGTGTCCGCTTCCTTTGGGACGCAGGGGAGACACAAGTGTTTGCAGAGAAAGGAGAGAATGAGTTCCAGGCAGAAGCTGAGATGGGAAAATGCAAGCGTGTATGTTGCGTCCAGGGAAGGCAAGACTTGTCCTGGGTGGTGATAGGACACACCACGTGACAACCGAATCTGCTGGCTCGTGAGCATGGAAAGACCTGGAGCGCCATCGCGGGTGGAGCGCCCTGGGCTCAAGAGCAGTGGAGAGCCTAATCATCGTAGTGGATATTCGGGGGATAATTTGGAGGGAGGACGAGAGGCCTGGGGATGGGGCGCCTGGAGGTGGGGCGGCTACCACGGAAATAGTTGGGAAGTGATGAAAATGTAAGCTGAGGAGATGGGATGCGAAAGGGAGGCTGAACCAGGATGTGGTGGCCAGTTAGCTACAGGAGAGAGGGCCAAGGAAGAGGCGACGACTCCTTAGTTTGTAACTTGGGCCATTGCTGCATGACGAGGCTGTTAATAAGAGGTGTGGGAAGAAGAGAAGAATTCTTTGGGCTGGTGTGGTAACTCCTGTGAATTTTGATAGGACAACTCTGGAAACAGCCTGCCCCTTTCGGGGGCTTTCAGGGGCTTTCAGGAAACTTCAGCCACAAGAGGGCAGCAGTGGGGTTCTCCGAGTAAGTCCGTTCCCAAGGGTGGCAGCCCCCATACCAGCCACGGAAGTCCACGATCCTCCTGTGGAATGTAGACATCCCTTCCCAAAGACGCAGGTATTGGGGTGGGGGGCTTACGGGCCTCAATCCCTTGGCGGTTCAAGGTTGAGCCACCGGGGTTCAGTGGAGCAGGAGAGTTCCCAGTGCCGGTTGGGCTGGGTTGGAAAATAGGAGTGTCCTTTCCTGGATGGAGAGGCACCACTTCACCTAGTGCGACCCTAAAATCTTTCTGTTTTAAGTGTATTTGAAAGAGAGAGACAGAGACACACAGAGATCTTCCAACCATTGGTCTACTTTTCCAAATGCCTACAATGGCCAGTTCTGGACCAGGCCAAAGCTAAGAGCCAGGAACTCCTTCTGGGTCTCCATTGTGGGTAGCAGGGACCCAAATACTTGGACCATCATCTGGTGCTTCTCAGGTGCATTAGCAGGAAGCTGGATTGGAAGCAGAGGTGGGACTTGAGCCCAGGCACTCTGGATATGGGATTCGGGCATCCCAGGTGGCTGTTTAACCCCCTGTGTTACAGCACCTGCCCCGTCCTAGAATCTTAGGGTTGGTGTGGACCTTAGAGATATCATGTCTCCCCACCACCCCCACTCCCATTTTACAGATGAGAAAAGCCAAGCTTGGAGGTCAAAGTTCACATAAGGAGCCTGTGACAGAGCCAGGCTTGATCCCTGATTGCCTCTCTGTTCCCCCAGCCACCGCTATCTTAGTGCCTACAAATCCTCTTCTGTGGCTCTGGAAGTTTGGGGGAAATATCTGTTTTTGTTGAGCTGTCCTTGTGGTCATGTGAAAGCAATTTACTTAATAGCTCCGGCCTGGGCCCCCTAACCAGATGCCCTTCCGGGAGGTGAAGGAGATCCGGTGTCTTGGCCAGACCCACGGAAGTTAAGGATGCCGTGGGACTGGACAGGTTTACACAAGGAAGATTGGTGACCCTGACGCCGGCAAAGGCAGTCTGTGCGGCGGGCCTTGGCTGGGCCTGGACATTTTCAAGTGCAAAGCAGACAGAGATTCCCAGATCCACTCCTGGTCCCCGACGCCTTCCCGTCGGCTGGCGCTCGGACATGGTCAGGCCTCCAAGGTTGCAGCCGGATGATGTTTTGCGACTCATCCTGCGCAGCTGCCCATTTTGCAGGGAGGGGAACAGAGGCCCAGAGACGGGCTCTGACTACTAGAAGCTGCTGGAAGGCTCCGAGTCATAGTCTCATGGCCACCCCTGCTCCCTGTGGAAGCTGCTAGCGCTTCTCCCAAAACCAGGAAACTCAACGACTTCTGTGTTTTGCACATCCCAAGGGATGGCCTGCAGAGTTGGTCCTGCAGGTGCCCCCCTGCTGGGGCCCTGCAGCAGCACTGCCTTCCTGGAGGGCGAGGCTGGGGTTGTCTGGGGAGGGGCCGCCCTGGGTCCCGGCTCCCCTGCTGCTTGTCTACCTGTGCTGATGGAAGGTTGGAGGCTGTGAGCGCAGGGACCATCAGAGGGGTGATTATACCATCTCCTCATGGTGCTCACCTGTTAGTCACACTCTATAACATTCCGGCCAAGCCCTGGGGGAGCTAAGTAAGCCTGGAGCCTGTCCTGGGTGCTGTGCCTGTGTTCTGTGCGAGTGGCGTGGGCATCTTTGGTCAAGTTTGAGCAGCTGTTTCCCCACCACGGGCAGCTGGGGTGCAGGGAACGAGCCGTGGAATCGGAGTCGGCATGCTCTGTAAGTCCTGCTACTGCCATTGCCTGCCCGTGTGACAGGGCTGGTCACCTAACTCTTAGAATGGCCGGCGATCCCTGCCTCTCGGGGTGCTACCAGTGAAGTGAGGTCTCACCTTGAACCTGCCGTGGCTTTTGCAGGTCTCGGATTCTCAGAGCGTGTGTGTGCGTGTGTGTGTGTGTGTGTGTGTGAGACAGTCTGGGAGGGGACCTCTAAGGACAGGGCCAGTGGGGTGGAGGAAACTGACCCAAACACCCTGTCTGGCACATGAGCTGGTAGCAGTTGCTACCTGCTGAATGAAGGCTTAGCGTGGACTGGGACACAGCTTCCAACTCATTGCCCAATTTGTGGGATGAGAACCAGGCCATGTTGTTTGGAATTAGGACTGGTTTTGGAAACTCAGCAGTGGTGTTGCTGGGGGTGATCATGTGGACTAGGAGCTGCTTGTCTCCCTGCCCCCTTCTCCTTCCTGGCATGCCTAGGAGGCCACCACCACCGATGGCAGAGGCCGAAGCCTGCAGGCCGCACCTTGAGCCCTCCCCTGGAGGCTGTAGGGCAGGGGGAGCCAAGCTCAGGCTTGGTCTGGAGGAAGAAGTGGAGCCTCCAGGTTATGGGGCTGACTGATCACAAGCAGCACTTTCGCTTTTGGGGATTTTATTCTCCTTGGGTTGTAAAAGGCCAGCTCACCAGCTGCGAGCACCCGGAGGCCGCGCCCTTGGCCTAAGAGTCCACTGGAATCACAGGTTCGATGCCCACTGCTAGATGCAGGGCCTCTCCCAAGTAGAGCCCATCTTGGACCCCTTCCTCTCCCCCAATCAGGTCCTGGCCTTGGAGAGTGGCAGAGATGCGGATTTATGGCTGTTGACTTGAAAGACAAAGTTGCCTTTTGTGTGGGAATGGGGTGGGGGCATGGGAGGGAGGGCGGGCTGGGGTTCAAGGGCCCATGGAAGGGAGGGAGGGATGTGGGGAGGCGGACAAAGGGAGGCCAAGGCTTCTCAGGGCGGAGTTACCAGGTGGAGGCCCAGATGGGTCGCTTGCCCCCCTTGAAGCCGAGCAGGCCCTCCGAGTGCCCACAATCCCCACAGACACCCGGCTCCCCACTCCCGTTTCCAACACAAAACCTCACACAGCCCCTCTCTTCTTTAAAAGGGACTCTGGATTCAGGATCTTTTTATTGTTTTTATTTATTTGAGAGACAGAGATAAAGGAAGACCTTCTGTCCTGGTTAACTCCCCAAAGGCCCACAATAGCCAAGCTGAAGCTGAGAGCCAGAAATTCCCATGCAAGTTTCCCATGTGAGTGGCAAGGACTCAAGTCCTTGAGCCATCACTGCTGCCTCCCAGGTGTGCATGAGCAGGAAGCTGGAGCCGGGAGCAGAGGTGGACTTGAACCCTGGCGCTCTGCTATGGGTTGTGGGCAGCCCAGGCTGCATCTTGACCGCTGTGCCGCATGCACCCCCGGACTCAGTCTTAATATTTATTTATTTATTTATTTATTTGAAAGGCAGAGTGATAAAGACACAGACCGGTATCTTCATATACTGGTTCACTCCCCAAATGGCTACAATGGCTAGGACTGGGCCAGACTGAAACCAGGAACCTGGAATTCTGGGTCTCCCACGTGGGTAGCAGGGGCCCAAATACCTGAGCCGTCCTCCA